TTTGACTGTCAGAAGCAGGAAGTCCAACATACAGCCGCAAGCGGGGGAGGAGGGCATGTTACCAAGGCGACATGTTTCACGCGCATGCATTTTATCAAGTACTGGAAAAGAAGAGGTAAGCGGCCATTTTATAGGAGACCGAGCAAACAAGGGCTGGCCCTAAGCATTGTGGAAGTATTCAACGTTGTAATTGGGCCATGGTTTTACCACCCCCAACCATTACCCTCTTGAGTTGCAGAGGCAGAGGCTGGCAGTGTACACATGCTGTGGCTGCGATACTTTGCTTTGCAGCTGTGACAGGAATTATACCCCCTGTAATTCCTGCTTGTGTGGGGTCCAAGGGGTTAAATTAAGTGGTGAGCAGGCGATACAATGCCTCCTCACTTAAAATTTATATAAAGAAATGTTGTGCTAAGTTAAATCAGTAAACAACTGCTGCACTTGAGAAATCCTGAATACTGGACTTACATTAATCTTTACTGTACTGTATATAGAAAAAAAAGTGTGCTATATCCTTTAAATCCCAAATATTACATATTCACAAATCCTTTTTAAATAAAATGAACATTCAATGTATGATAACAGTAAATGAGGAACAGTGTCAAGAAAAAACATCTCCAACAAGTCCAAATCCACATATGGCATCCAAGCGCCATGAAAAGTACTCGGTACTCTAATGTAAACAACTCATGTTCCAATGTGCAGAGTGCTGATTCTGAAGGTTAAGCCTCTTACCATACCAGAATGATCTCACATAAAAAAGATCACAAGCGCTTTTTCCAAATGGAAGACCAATGCTCTCACCATCAAACTTCCAGAGATGTTTGTGATCCCGCCAACAAGATGAAGCAAGGGTGTCCCCACAGCAGAAATATGCGAAAACTCTGGAGGCACCAAACTCACTCCAATGCAGGCATCAGTCAAAAGCAACAAAAGGGAGAAGCCTCATAAGTATAGTAATTAGAAAAGCTAATTATTGCACTTACATGTTTGAGAAAGAAGACATGTGGCATGACAATCCAAACTGCTCAGCCATGGGGCCTGCCGGTGCATCCTCTGGCACTTAGATGACCATATGTGGATTTGGACTTTCATGTGACATATGAACTTTTGAACTTCTCCCTACTTGTTGCCCTGGTGACAACTCTAAAATGTTAAAATAAGAACAAAAAAGGAGAAACCACTGCACTCAGGTTTAAAAAGAGAAAAGCTGCCAGCACTGAAAATTCAGATACTTGAATGCACATGTACAAATAAATAAGTTCCCCCAGATCACATCATCTCTGATGAAGCACATATGGTGGGACATATGGCGGTGACGTCATCATGCATGTGGACCTCATTGGATGGTTGGTGAAATAAAAATTGGAGGGTGTGTTTTTTTGGAATCCCCCTATTTATATTAAAACTATGTACTACTTTGTCGGTCCCTATAATTAGTATATACAGTATATCTAAGCTCTGACAATATTGATGGATGTAATATACTGCAATATTAGCTATAATAACAAACACAATGCTCACAGAAGCAAGGTCTTATTTATTTACAAAGGAAGTAAAACACTAACAGAGAAATCTAAACCAACATTACAGAGTATATAGAAATAAAAGCAAAGATGATAGTTATGTAAGTTTGTCCTCAGAGCTGAGAAGAGAGAAGCAGGCGTGGGCAGAACTGTGTTTAAAATCCCTCTCAGGCACCACCCACACACACCCTTGACCCGCCTGGTGTAGTCCTCCATCCAATGAGCGAACGTCCATAACTCATAAGGGGCTGTCCTCCCTACTCATTAGGAAGTATAGTATTACCCCAGCCATCCTCCCGAAAGTAGGTTGTCTCCACCAGGGGGTACTGCTGTATTGCCAACAATGCCATAATCCAGGTCAACATTCCAGTCCACATCCGGTTTCTTCCTTCTGGATAGAAGCCATGGAGTCTGTCCTTTTAGTTTCATGTCACCAGAGAATCTGGGCTGAGGCTGTCTGATTTCCATGCCCCACCCGCTAGGGGGTCTGTGTGAAATCTCAGGACAAGGATTTTGGTACGCAGTCTTTTGTTACACATGTTGTAAATACTTTACAAGATGACATTCAACAGGCCAAATGGTTCTTTGATAACCAGGCAGTAAGAATCCATAAATGTCTGATACAGAAACATGTTGCCTTCTAACATATGCTGCTTTGTGCCTGAATGGCACACCACCACCTTCTTCAGAGACAGCTTCTAAGGAACAGTCCAGACATGTCTGACATTAGGACACGTGCTTCCCAATATGTGCTGCTTTGCACCTGCATGACAACTCCTATATTGTGTCACAGTGTCAGCGCAGTGTGAACTGGGCGGAAGTGGTTAACATTTTGGGGGGAGGTTATTTAATTAACAATGCTTTTTGTAATATGCAGCATGAGGTGGGGTTAATGTACTGTCACTGATGCAATATTGACCACTGGCAGTTAATTAACCCCTTTGTGCTGCATTTGTGGTAGTGGCACCAGTGTCAGTGTTAATAAACCATTTTTTGCTACTGCATGAAGAGGTTTATCAACACTGACACCGATGCCACTAATTCAGCACAAAGGGGTTAATTAACACTGATACTGGTTACTTATGCATCCGTGACCAGTGGCAGTACATTAACCCCCCTCATGCTTCATATTACAAATAGCATTGTTAATTAACTCCCCCCACCCCCCCAAAGAGTTAACCACTCCAGCCAGTTCACATGGGGATTGTTGTTGGGGGTTATTACATCAGCTGGCACCATTGCTGAGGATTATTGTAGCAGAAACTGGCACTGATGCTGGGGGTTATTATTGCTGCTACTGACACCAATGCTGTGAGTTGTTATTGCAGAAACTGGCACTGATGCTGGGGGGTTATTTATTGTTGCTACTGACACCAATGCTGTGAGTTGTTATTGCAGAAACTGGCACTGATGCTGGTGGTTTATATTGCTGCTACTGACACCAATGTGAAATATTGCTTTCGTTTTCATTTAATCTATTTCCATAAAAAGGCCCTGTAATGGTTGTGGATACTGGGCACATAAATAGCTGCATGTGTAGCAGCCATTTTGTCCATGTCACCAGTCTCCTATACCATTTCTTCATAAGAAAGCATTGCACAGTGACCTTTTCCTCTCTCCCCCTCCCATCTCCTTTCAGCTCATACAATCCACAAAATCTTATGCAGGCCATAGACGGGTTCGAACATCGGCCGATTTTTCGGAAAAAAAAAAAACGAAACAAAAAATCGGTCGTTCGTTCGGCCAACGTTACCACCAACAATAAAAAAAATCGGCCGACTAAATCATAAAGTTCACCCCATAACTTCTGTCCCTTGCAGGACACGGCTCATGCGCAGACTTTTTATTGGTAAAAAACGATCGGCCGATTTGCCCATCGTTGCAGGGAAAAATCGGCCGATCGTCAAAATCAGCCATGACCGATAAAAAAAATGTGCAAAGAACCCCGAAAAACAGACGACCAATTAACCCACTAAAAGTGCGAAAATCGACCGATTTTCGAACCGTCTATGGCCGGCATTAGTTGCTGGCAGACACCCCTTATCAGACTGGTAATAGGATTAGCAGAATCTAACCCCCAATATACATCACAGGGCCGATAAAAGTGTCTGACTTAGCCGGCTTCAATGACCATAAAGTTACCAGACATTGAGCCATAAATACCTTACTTGGAAGCTGGGAGAAAACACACCCCTGATGGACTCGTTCTCAGACGAGACTCTAAAACAGCAATGGGCAAACTACGGCCCGCGGGCTGTATACGGCCCGGCAGACCTTTTAATCCGGCCCGCGGAGCTAGGCTCCCGCTAGGCTCCTCTCACAGTCCGCCCTGAAGACCGGTGTAGCATGAAAATCTGTCTCCTATGAGGATCTGTTCCCCTCGACGTATCTGTGCATGTGCCGGAGATTGCCGATCGGCTGCTAATGCCTGAAACTGGCACATGCGCAGATACGTCGAGGGGGACAGATCCTCATAGGAGACAGATTTTCATGCTACACCGGAACAGCGCGGGAAAGGGCGAGAGGAACGCGCGGAGCAAAGGTAAGTGAATTGACACAGGGGGGACTTGGGGACTTAATATGGGGGATGAATTAATATGGGGAATGAATTACTATAGAGGGGATGAATTACTATATGGGGGATGGTGATGGGGGATGAATTACTATAGGGGGGGTGAATTACTATATGGAATAATTACTATATGGGGGGGTGAATTACTATATGGGGGGATTGAATTACTATATGGGGGGGGGATTAATTACTATGGGGGATTAATTACTATGGGGCTGAATTACTATGGGGGATGAATTACTATATGGGGGATGAATTACTATATGGGGGATTAATTACTATATGGGGGATTAATTACTATATGGGGGGAATTACTATGGGGGATTGAATTACTATATGGGGGATGAATTACTATATGGGGGATGAATTACTATGGGGGATGAATTACTATGGGGGATGAATTACTATATGGGGGTTGAATTACTATATGGGGGATGAATTACTATATGGGGGATGAATTACTATATGGGGGATGAATTACTATATGTGGGATGAATTACTATATGGGGGATTAATTACTATGCTTACTATGGGGGAATATTACTATACTTACTATGGATGACACATACACATCATTCATCTACTCTTGGTCCGGCCCCCGGGTCCATTATATGAACCCATTGCGGCCCTCAAGTCAAAAAGTTTGCCCACCCCTGCTCTAAAACCTCAGCACGTGTCGTAACTCATGAAATGACTGCACACCCACAATATAGACATATTTACTTCCCTCAGTTACTGGGTAGCATTTTGAACCCAAAGATCCCTATGCTAGGTGGTAGTAGAGTAGATTAGGCCTCCACACCCCTTGAAGCTAATTTCATTCTGTACAATAATCTGCATGGTAGTAGACTGTAAATGGTAGGTAATCAGAAATATGTATTTAGGACTTGGTCATAAATGTGGTGACCTCCCAGCATCCACCCTTTAACTAGTTGCCGACCGCAGATAGCCGAATGACAGCTGCACTGAGGCCGGCCAGTTCTGGGTGGACGTCATATGACGTCCTCCCAGAACGCGCCTGTGCCCACCAGTGCCACCCACCTGTGCCCACCCACCAGTGCTGCCCACCACCCACCAGTGCAGCCCAGCAGTGCTGCCAGTCAGTGCCATCAGTCAGTGCCCAGCGGTTGTGCCAGTCAGTGCCCAGCACTGATGCCAGTCAGTGCCGTCTATCAGTACCCATCATCAGTGTCACCTATCAGTGCCGCCTATCAGTGCTGCATATTAGTGCGCCTATCCGTGACACCTCATTAGTGCTGTCTATCCGTGCCGCCTATCCGTGCCACCTCATTAGTACTGCCTATCAGTGCCGCCTATCAGTGCCCATCAGTGCCACCTATCAGTGCCCATCAGTGCTGCCTCATCAACGCACATCAGTGAAGGAGAAAAATTATCTGTTTGAAAAATTTTATAATAGAAACAAAGAAACTTTTTTTTTTTTTTTTCAAATTTTTTGCACTTTTTTTATTTATAGCGCAAAAAGTAAAGTGCCCAGTGGCGATTAAATACCACCAAAAGAAAGCTCTATTTGTGAGAAAAAAATGATAAAAATTTCATATGGGTACAAGGTTGCATGACCGCGCAATTGTCAATCAAAGTGCGGCAGCGCTGAAAGCTGAAAATTGGCCTGGTAAATAAGGGGGTATAAGTGCCTGGTAGGCAAGTGGTTAAACTGGATGACTGGTCAGATGGTCTCTGTCAACAACCCCTTTGATACCACAAAAAAAAAATGGCAGGACCTGTTGTCAAGCTCTTGTTTTAACATCAGCTAAGGAACACCTAACAGGACTTGAGAGAGCTACAGCACCATTTTTGCTTGGACATTTGAACTCTAATAAAACCAAGGACTTTGCAATTATTCTTCCTTTCCAACTCCTTTATACTTCTCTGTTGATTTTGGTCTCTTTACTTCTTTATAACATCTTTTTTTCTGTATATATTTTAGTTACACCATTTTGACATTTTCATCATTAAACCCTATTTTGAAAAGTGTTCAACTGTCCCTAAGGCTTTTAATGCAAACTAAAAGAATCCCTGTCTCTTGAAGAGTGCCTGTAAGGGAATTCCCGTGAGATGGCTGGCGAATAGACGTGCACATGCGCACAGAAATGTATGATCACACACACGCACGGCGAAGATCGGACTAGTTAAAAGGTGCCTCTGCCTGTGCTGAGTGCTGACTGGTCTTCAGCTGTTCCCTGTTTCCTGCTCATTCCTGTGTGATTTCCTTGTTGCTGACCGGGCTTGTTCCTGACCTGACTCTGATTACTCTCCTGCTGGATACTGGTTTCTGACTTCAGCTCTGCTCCTGACTTTGGCTTGCTTTTGATTTGGTACCTCGCTGTCTGCCCGTTGATGACCCTGGCTATTCCTTTGACACTGCTCCTGTCTCCCATCCCAGCTTTCTGCCTTGCTCTGGTGCACACCTGGCGATCTACCATACCAGCTCTGCATATTACTACTGTGTCTGAAACCGGAGGTTCATCAGTCTTCCAAAGTCACCAACCGCAAGAGCTGCAAACAACATCTACTGGCGCTCTTGTCCCCCTGGTCCCTAGACACCCTCTGTTCCACCTCCAGTGGGGTCAGGGATAGTGACACAAGTGAGGCTGACCTCGTCATTTCAGTCTCCTATCAGGTACCAGTCAGCCAATGAGGAAGTCTGAAAGGGTGGTCTCTGCAATGGGGGACATCTGTCAATCAATCTCTGCCTTATCTTACTCGTTGCAGAGTTTGCAAAGAAACCTTGAACATCTGGAGAACCAACTACCAACCAAGTCTAATGTCTCCACAGCCAAGGGTCCCTCTGCAGTCTTAGATATAACTATATAACTACTCAGACAGAGCTCAGTATGATTCATAGAACTTCTCCTGTACCGGAACCTTAGGTGCCAATACCTGAGTATTTCACAGGAGACCGCAGAAAGTTCAGAACCTTTCGTAACTCCTGCGAGCTATATTTTTCTCTGCTCCCAAGAACCTTTGCATCACAAAGCACCAAAGTGGGATTCATTATTTCACTCCTTCAGAATGAACCCCAATCCTGGGCACACCGCCTTCATGAGCAACATGATCCGGCTCTGACTTCAATGGACTCTTTTTTCCCAGTGAAGTCACAACTTTACGCTGATCCCTTCCGTCCTCAGACTGCAGAATCTATGCTTAGCAAGCTACGGCAAGGCCAAAGGCCTATAAAGGAATATGTCACGGAGTTCCATATATGGAGTTCTGACACTCAATGGAATGAGTCTGCTCTCCGCTATCAGTTTCGCCCTGGCCTCTCCAACACCCTGAAAGATGAGCTTGCCCGAGTTGGGGTACCAACCAGGCTAGAGGACCTGATAAACCTTGCCATTCAAATCGATCGACGGATCCGGGAAAGGCGGGATGAAAAAACTAACAGGGGTGTCTTGATATGCTCAGAGATGGAGACTCCTGTTCCCTCAACCACTGCTGTCACATCAGACACACTCTCCAGTAAAAGAAGGCATCATAATTCTCCTAGAAGGAGCTTCTGGAGACCACCGTTATCCTCTGCTGAACATCTTCGATGGCAAAACACCAACCTCTGTCTCTACTGTGGTGATGCAGGACACTATATACTGACGTGTCCAGTGAGACCTCATAAGACACACCTCTCCTTCCACCTTCACTTACAACTTGCTGAAAGAACTATTACTGTTCTAGCAATTATAGATTCTGGTGCCTGCAGCTGCTTCATGGATTCGACCTTCGCTAACCAAAATAAGATCCCCCTCCATACTAAGACACAAAGACTTTTGGTCCATCTGGCTGATGGCTCTGGTATCAGTTCTGGTCCTGTGACACAAGAGACTATGCCAATTTTCTGCCACTCCTCCTCGGGACATCAGGAATTTCTATGTCTGGATGTCATAACTTAACCAATATTTCCGGTCATCCTTGGCATGCCCTGGCTAAGAACGCTCAATCCATCCATCAATTGGTTTTCTGGGGAGATCCCTTTCCCTTCCGAATATTGTCAGAACCATTGCATTCCAAAGGAACAATGCACAGTAACTCCTCTTCTTAGTATCCATCCTGATTCTGAGATGATGAAACTCGTTCCTGTCGCTTACCATGAAAACCTGGATGTATTCAACAAGAAGAGTGCCAATGCTCTTCCTCCGCACCGCCCTTATGATGATCCTATTGAACTTCTGCCCGGTGCTGAAATTCCTTTTGGGCGAATTTACCCCCTCTCCGAATTGGAATTAGAGGTCCTCCGGAGTTATATAGATGAAAGCTTGGAAAAAGGGTTTATTCGGCCCTCTACCTCACCAGCGGGAGCTGGCATCTTCTTTGTCGAGAAGAAGGATCATACCCTCAGACCATGTGTAGACTACCGTGATCTGAATAAAATGACAGTCAAGAATCGCTATTCTCTTCCCCGATTCCCAAATTGTTCCAAAGGCTACGAGGGGCATGTGTCTTTTCAAAGCTGGATCTGAGAGGCGCTTACAATTTAGTCAGAATTCGCGAAGGGGATGAATGCAAGACGGCCTTTCGAACAAGCTTTGGGCATTTCGAATACCTGGTGATGCCATTTTCTCTGTAATGCCCCAGCAACTTTCCAACACTTCGTGAACTATATATTTCGGGACTATCTTGATTTATTTATTATCATTTAGTTGGATGACATCTTAGTCTTTTCCAGCTCAACTGAACGACACCGGGATCATGTAAAGAAGATTTTGGATAGATTACGCCAACATCACCTCTATGCCAAAGCTGAAAAGTGTAAGTTCGAGAAACAGACTATTCAGTTCCTCGGACTTGTGATAACCCCTGACGGCATTGCTATGGATCCCCAGAAGGTGACCTCCATATTAGAATGGCCCGTTCCAAGAGACAGGAAAGCAGTACAACATTTTGTGGGATATGCCAATTTTTACAGAAAATTCATTAAGAACTTTTCAGGTATCATTGCACCAGTAACACAGTTACCCAGGCAACATGTTACTTTCAAGTGGACTCCTGAGGCTCAAGCAGCCTTTGAACAATTATAAAACCTTGTTCACCTCTGCTCCTATCGTGAAGCACCCAAATCCTGCCATAGCCTTTGTCCTTGAAGTAGACGTTTTAGAAAATGCTGTTGGAGCTATATTGTCACAATGACAGGGACTCAAATCCCTCCTTCACCCTGTTGCCTTCTTGTCTAGAAAGTTAAGCTCCTCTGAAAGGAATTATAATGTGGGAGACAGAGAGCTGTTAGCCATCAAGGCAGCCCTTGAGGAATGGTGCTATTTGCTGGAAGGAGCTTCCCATCCTATCCTCATTTTTACGGATCACAAGAACCTAGAGTACTTGAGAACTGCAAAACGCCTAAGGCCCCGACAGGCAAGATGGGCACTGTTCTTCTCCCGCTTTGTATTTCACTTGACATACCGTCCAGGATCAAAGAACGGTAAGCCAGATGCACTCTCACATATGTTTCATGACCCAATTGTACCATCCGAACCTGACACGATTCTGCCAGCTAAGAACTTTTTACTTCTGCAAACAGAACTTGTAGCACAAATGAGAAGTGGTTGATGATCATCCACCCCCCTTGGAGATGCATCTTCAGCTAAAAGACGGTCTGTACCTTCATAAGGAACAAATTTACATACCAGTACAACTCAGATCTCTCATCCTTAAACGATGTCATGATCATCCTTTAGCGGGTCACTTCGGGATCCATAAGACCTCAAATTTGGTCTTCCGTTCCTTCTGGTGGCCAAACTTAATGAAGGATTGTAAGAACTATGTTAGATCTTGCTCAGTATATCTTCGAAACAAGTCTGATAAAGCCAAAACCTGGGGCCTGTTGGAATCTTGCCAGTACCCGAAAAGCCATGGAGTATGATTTCTCTGGATTTTATTGTAAATCTTCCCCCATCTGAAGAGTTCACCACTATTTTTGTCGTGGTTGATCGTCTGTCAAAGATGGCTCACTTCATTCCCTTGAAAGGGACTCCTTCTGCCGCTGAGACTGCTTCTGCTTTTATTAGAGAAATAGTAAGATTACATGGTGTTCCTAACAATATCGTGTCCGATCAGGGAGTACAGTTCACTTCTAAGTTCTGGAAAGCTCTGTGTGAGGCACTAGAGATCGAACTTTGCTTCTCTTCTGAGTATCATCCGCAAACAAATGGACAAACAGAGAGGACAAACCAGACTCTGGAACAATACCTACGATGTTTCTCACCTTATTCACAGGATG